ACATATCTGGAGTTGTAAAATTTTAAGTAAAAATTAAACTAAAAAAATCAATCAATATGTTTAAAGCTTATTTTTTATTTTTGAAAATCATATGTCTGACAGCATAGATGAACTTGTGAATTACTTTTTTTTTTTTTTTTTAATCACAGTGTATATAGAAACTTACCAGACACCCTGTTTGTTTCAATTTATCACAAACCAAAAATTAATTAAGAGCCAAAACAGAAGAGACAGAACAGCATTTAATATCTATCAGCTAACATCTGCTCATAAACCAGTATCATATCTTGCAGAAAATCAAATACAATTGTGAAGATTAGTTATTGATTTTTGTCAATAATGGATAAACAAACGCAATATGAAAAAAATGGAGCAAAAGAATTCATGCATCTTACAAAATTGTATCATTTTGTTTTCTTTCTTTTTTTGCAGAAGCTGTCCATTTCACTTGATAGTTTGTTAAAGCGGCATTCAACTGTAGAATAAACACCATTTATTTAATACTTTACATATACAGTTGCAATCAAAATTCCTCCCCAGTGAAAATCAGGTTTATTGTCAATATTTACAGACTTTCAGCTGTTTGCAATTGGCAAATAAAGCAAAAAAAATTAAAATAGCTCAACAGAGCGCTCAACAAAACAAATGCTTCAAGTTGTTTTCCCAAACGCAACTTCTCCAGTCTCACAGTTATTCAACCCCTTCATTGCAAGAATCTTTAGTACTTAGTAGTGCACCCTTTTGCTGTTATGACCTACTGCAAACAAGATGCATAGCCAGACACCAGCTCCTGGCAGTATTCCTGAGGATTCTTAGCCCATTGCTCATGAGCAATGACCTCTAGTTAAACAATATGCTTGGGTTTGCGTGCTGCAACTGTCTTCTTCAAATCCTATCAGAGATTTTCTATGGAGTTCAATTCAGGTGACTGTGATGGCCACTGTATAATTTTCCAGGTCTTCTTCTGCAACTAAGCATTGGTGGAACTTAAGGCGTGCATGTCTTGTTGCAAGGTCCAATAATGCCCAAGCTTCAGCTATCTCATAGAAGGCATGACAGTTTCTCCTAGGATTTCCTGATAGGATTTCTTCATCTTGCCTTATACACACTGCATGTTTCCAATGCCAAGAAGATATTTTTTCTATTGTTTTCTTCATTTTTTAAATTTTTTCATCAGAGACAGTGGATCTCACTTTGTTTATTTCTGTGTCTGACTCTCTGCCAGTGTGATTGTGTCTGACTGTCATTAATTTCTAACACAATCAGGTATATATATATATATTTTTTTTGCCCTGTCTGCCCTCTAGGCTAGGCTATATTTAAATTAGCTTGATCATTTACTCCATTGTTGTTGTTTTTTTTTTTTTTTTTTGCAAATTATTAGTTTTGTTCACTAAAATAAATAGAATTTTATGAAAAGCTGTTAGTGGGTGGTTGACAGATGTACAGTTGTAGTTAAATGGATAGGACAAAGTGGTAGGTGTGCTATTCCTTTTGGGATCAATAGAAATTTGTATGATTCTGTGATTTAGAAGAGTTCAAATCATTGCAACACTGAAATGAAAATGAATAGACCCTTAACAAATCTAACCAATTAGTTTCTGATCCATATGTTTTTCTCTATTCCCTGTCCAATGAAATGATTCTAAAAAAGGGGATTTAGTCATAGAAACGTGGCAAGCAAGCAGAGGCTTAGTTAGTATAAATAATGATGTTACATTTTTCTGGTGGTATGGATGGATTTGGCGTTTATTCAAATACTTAAATTAATTTAGTGGAATTTGTGTTAAGTATTAGATAGGTAGTATTAAAGGACCACTATAGGGTCAGGAGCACAAACACGTGTGTATGATCCTAAACCCCTGTGCACATTTAAATAATAGAAGGTTTTTGGTACCATTCCAATGGCCATAAAAGTGCACATTTACTTGCTCTGTCAAAGAACACCTATTAGGTAAGTCCTACACACTAGCAATTAGCTTTGATGCTTTCATCTAAAAAAACAAATATCTGAAACAGAAAGGAGTATTTATTGTAAACCCCTTCTTACTTTTTAAACCTCTATAGGACCCACATGGAGTGGGCAACAGCACTGTAATGAGACAGAGGGAGAAACATATATTTTCTTAAATTATTGGTTGTGAGGGTTGCTGCTGTTGGCTGCCAGTCATAAATAAGGTTTAATCACTAAACAAAAAAAAATGTCAGTTATTGACAAGTGATTTGAAACTATAAAACAAATAAATAATTAAAACATTAAGATAGATATTTTTTCCAGTTAGCCTGGCTCTGCATTTGTTTTCCTCCCCCACATAATCGCACATTATGGTACATAATCCCTATTGAATTAACATATGCAATTTAAATAAACCAAATATCTATGCATATTGTAGAAGTTTAATTTTCATTTGATATAATAGCCTTAGTTCTGATCAACTGCTGTCACACAACTAGTTTTTTTTTTTTTAAATACGAGTTTTAATAATTCAGTAGATTGCCTTGTTCATTATGATTAAAATTATTTCCTCTGCATCACTCGTTATCTTTTGAATTATTAATGAGAAAGAATAATTCCATTTGGTTTAGAAGAATGAATTCATTCATAATGATTCATGATAATAAACTTTTTAAAGAAAATATGTGGAAGCAAACATTTAGAAACATGAAACATAAATGTAATCCAAGAAATGTTTTTTAAAATATCTACTCTGGTGGTGGACATGTTCCCAGACCTGTGCAAGGCCATATAAATTCACTAAAAATGCAGTAATTCTGTCCATTATAATTTGAACTATAGCACATATGTGTATCACCAAATACAGGGCCCTTTCTCCAAGACAAAATATCCACATACTAAGACATAGCATACACATAGAATTAAAAACACTAACAGCTTAAATTTAAACAACCATGCTCCATTTTTAAAAAAAATATTATGTTTTTGTTTTCCCTCTTACCTTCATTACCCTGTTAGCTTTACCCATCCTATTTAGGTATAAAAATATATATATTGGTTATTTAGCTGTTACATTTAAAATGGTATTCAATTTCACATGATTCATTGTTCATTTAAATGAAGAGAAAACCCAAAGAGATCACATATCTGCCATTCAAAATATTGTATTCTTCTTTTTATCCACTTCACTACCTAGATTAGTTATACATGTGTTTAGTTTTAATGTACTTTGAAGAATAAAATTTAGTCTGTAAAGCCTTACTCACCCTCATTTATACTCCAGTTATGAGTACCTGTAGGGCAACGCATTTCTCTGCTAAAAGCCAAATTTAAGTAGCTGAATTGGTAGCATAGCTGTCTGGGAGAATGTTAAAACTAACAGATAAAACTAACAAAATAACTGATAATACTATGAAAAGTAGCATAGAATATTTACAAGCTTTATCCATAAATAGGGCAAATTCACTAAACATAAAAATGTCAAGAATTAACAAGTGAATTGAAAATCTAAAAAAATAAATAGATCATAACAGTATTGAATGTGTTATTTCCCTGTTTCCTTTTTGATTTATTCGATTGACAGCGTAAGAGCCTTATTTAACATCCTGCTCTTGATTAACATTTCAAAGGATTTATGGCCTTTTGTGCATCACTGACTTCCTGCTAGGCAAGTCCAGACCCAGCATACAATCTCCTTGAAGGTTTTTATCACATATTTCTTTTAGCTGACATTTTCACCTGACACTTTTATGAATGTTGTTGTAGATGTAATTGCCCTATGCAAACAAACCAATTAATGTTTCATTTATTTCCTCATAAAGTAGGCATACAACCTGTTTAGAAATCCAATATGTTCCTGAATTTGCCAGACTTGAAACTGTTTCACTAGATTGTCAAAATGCTTAGAAAAGGTATTATTAATTAAAAGTATTATTATGAAAAAAGAGAACTTGCATATTTGTTTAATTAAAAGAGATAGTGTTTACCTGTATTGAAAGCTTTTCAAAATGTCCTCAACGAAACCAAGATAATATTTAATCGTGCCATGCAGGTTATAACACCTTTTGATGGCATAAATCACCATGCTGTTTTGCTGCCAATGGTGCTAAATACTTGCTGACACTGGGAGGATAAAAATGTAAATGGATCAAGCAAACAAGTTGTGGAGTACCACAATTTCAAATGGAGCATGATGATAAAATAAACTTTCAAAATTAAAGAAGACAGCTCTCCACTCTCCAATAACCCCACAAGATTCCAGGCAGTGGAACCCCAATCCTAAAATCCACAGAAAGACAAAAACTTGCACAAATAAAATGCCACAACAAGCTTTTACCATAGCATATAAAAAAGTTTATTTTTTAGCATATTTAGCCTTGAGCTCCAAAACATGTAAGAAATTTCAGTCTTGCTGTCTGCTGTGGTGTCTTTTAGTGCCGAATAAATTTTTTATATGCTTTAGTGAGCCTGTTCTTGCATTTTGTATAGTGTTTCTTTTTCACCTTCCTCTCACACTGTGGGGACCAAGAAATAATTTGATAACCAAGACACCTTTCTGTCAGCTAAAGTCAGTACATATACAAGGGTATGGCCTCACACATCAATGCGGATTAGAGTGAGAGAATTGCCTTGTACAACAACGAACAACATGGCCAAAATAGTCCAGTCCTGAAGGGGTTAAAAGCCAACATTATGGGGGCGGGGTCTGACTGTCATGGAGGAGAGATGTGTTTTGCATGAGCTTCTCTCCTAGGCAAGCTTGAACCGAAGTTATCACCCACATTCTGCCTAGGTGGGAACGAATTAAGTGAATTATAAAACTCCTGACCCTTCTGAGTCCCACTGTAGGGGGTGATAACCTGCAAGGAGCTCATCTGCTATTCTGCTCAAATCATGCGGCCTGTGGCGCACCAGACGGGGGAGGCGGTTGATCCACTGGCCTGGAGTAGTTCGAAGGCACACAACATAGCACAAGAACCCCGTTACCCCCCACCCCCAGACCGGTGGGGGTTATCCCGGTCCACCCCTGGCAGGCTACGCAGACATGGCGGGAGCTAGAGGCAGGGCCACAGTGGCTACTACAACCTGCAACAACACAGCCAAAATAGTGGACGCAGAGCGGGCCCCCGACAAGACGGAGGACAATCCTGACATCTTGGCCAGGCTGGACAGGATATTCTACAATTTCTGGTGCAAGCTGGAGAGTAAGCTGCACCAACCTGTCTGGAGCCAGTCAGATGACCACTCGCTGCACAAGCCGACCCCGGTCATGAAGCAGAAAACCGCAGTGACGACACCCCGTCAAGCCCTAACATGGCGGCGGGGCAGGAAACGTGCCTCGCTGAGAGGCTCAACTACCCATCTGGGTAGTTTACCAAAGGGTAAAAGCTTACCTTAGAGTCATCCTCCAAAATCAGCAATGGTACCAGAGGGAGAGGCTTCATCCTGGTGGCATAACAAACATAATGCCTCCCACAAGCACAAGAAAGCACAGCAGCATGCACCCACGGTGAGGGCTCTAATACAGACAGCGCACAAGCAGCAGACCCCAATGAAACCATCAGCAGCACGGAGGCAGGAACCACCAAAGAGCAGACCTCAGCCCTGCATTAAACCTAGCAAGCCAGGGAGAGCCTTGTTCCTGGCCACCGAAAAGCACTGCCTCTTACCTGGGACTCAAAACCTGGCACGCTCCAGTACAGACGGGGACTCTGCTCGGATGAAACAAGGTATAGGGTGAACGGGGACTGTGGGGTGGTGGCTGTTAGGCTTCATTAGCACGATATACACACACTCCTGTCTTACTCTAGACCTGAAATACAATCTACTCCTTTGAAAATATCTCTCGAGTTAGGGAGTTTATGATTATCTTTGATGCATTTGTTTTACTAGCGGTTACACGATGTTTCACCATACTGGACCCAGGGGCATTAACTACTCACAGTAAGCATGCATAAAGTTAATGTCAGCATAGACTACTCTTAAACATGCTTAAAGCCAAGCCTTTCTCTGACACTACTTGCATTAACCTGTGAATTTCATTTTAATATGATTAATTGCCCTAGCATGTTATATTATATAAGCAATGTTTATTAGCCTGCTTTTTTCATGATCATACAAAAAATGTGGGGGGGCGGAGCCTGACCTCTGAGCCGTGTGGACGCGAGCAGCATGAGCTCCTGGCAGACGGGACATATTGGTGGCACAATCAGCGACTATATAACCGCAAAACACACCGGAGCGCACTCCTGAGGTTCGGGGTGTACTGCAGAACCGAGTGACACCTCTTGGGAGCCCGTCTGGAGCGCACTCCTGAGGTTCGGGGTGTACTGCAGAACCGAGTGACACCTCTTGGGAGCCCATCTGGACCGGGAGACCGGAACACCATGTGCGGCCTACTAGAGTTGGAGCTGGGGAGGGGTGGCCGCTCTCACTAGCGCCTGGACTCACCAAGCGACTTTGCAGGCCTCCTAACCCCCCCTTTGGACCGGTGGGGGTTATCCCGGTCTCCACTCGGTGAACGAACCTACAAACTACCTGGCACTCCAGACTGCAGCCCAGAGCAAGCACCCAACAGTGCCTGAACCACACAAGATGCTGGAGGCTCCTTTAAAGGAACCGCACACTGTCAACCAGCCACAGGGGCCCAACCAAAGCACCCTTGATTCCAGGCTGGATGCACTGTTCCAGGACTTTTGAAACAATCTACAGACAAGATCCGCAGCTGTTCAGCCCAGCCTAAAGATGGAAAAAGGTCCATGACAGAAGCCTCACAGCCGACAGAAGCATGTGGGGGTGAATAAGCAGCAGGTATGTGGGATACACCAGGCACCACCCAACACTGCACAACTCAAGCACCTCCAAGCCTCACACAAGCACCCGAAGCAGAGACCAGAAGCTTCCCGCCAGCGCACAGGCCAAGAAAGTCCAAATACCCGAAACAGCGCTCTCGGGCAGGGGGTCTTAAAGAGACTTAACACTGCTCCGCACCCACACAAGAGCGGGCAGCCGACAAGACACACGGCACTCCAAAACAGCATCCCTCACAAAAGGAACAAGGACTTGACCTTTAAAAAAGCTACAGCCTACAGAACGGGGGCACAAACCGGAGGTTGGAGCAGAGCCCAGACATGGCGCAACGCCACAGTCCCACACCTGGACATTTCCACCAAATGGAATGGGTCCCGACGAACGCGACAACCAGGACACTGTGCATTCTTCGATAGGTATCGGCTAAACTGGTCACCAAACGCAGCTACCCCTGCACAGAGATTTGGGTCCTCTGTTCCTATAAAATGCACCCTGTTATATGTTATATGCTATCCTCTACTGTTTAGCAACCAGTCACTTGACGTAGCTAAATTTGTTTAAACTTTTGTACTACCTTTAACCGTTTATCAAGCTACAGTATATTTAACTTGCCCACCTAACCTTTTTACTCTCAGATATGCCTAGCCTGAGTTAATCTAATCTAAGCGTATGCACACTCTAAGAAATGCTTTTCATAGGATTATTCCTCTATTGCTAATTGTTATGTCTTAGTCTCACCTCATTTTTACCTAACTAGTACAAGCTATAACTTAAGACATAAGTACCTAACTTGCATTCACTAAAAAATGGTGCCGTTCTTGCCTGCCATAATACTGTATTCATTGTATGGTTGTTTTAGCTTGTACACACTGTTGTAGCGATATGAGCTTGTTTGTCTTACTCACGCACTGCAAAAAGAAAGAATAAAAAAAAAAAAAAAATAGGCTAACCAAGACACAAATCAATTAAATGACTTCTCCAAAATTAGTTTTATTTTTTTAACTCTATTTTTTTATTCTTGAACAAAACAATTATTCTCTCCGATGAAGTTAAAGCAGTTATTAGTAGATGCTTCCACATCATCAAGTGACCGAGTAATTGCATACAAAAAATGTGCCGATCAAACTGCCACACTTTGAAATGTCTTGAAAACGCTTGTAGATGCTGTTATGGCTCTGCACGCATGTTGTAATCATTTGCACAAGAAAAATAAAAAAATAAAAAATAAAAAGCCAACACTATATACAAACACACCCCTGCATTCAAACACAAGCATTATATTTAAGTACACGGCTAAATTCCAATGGCAAGAGTACATATAAATACATGTTTCATGCATAAGCACATACTGCATACAAAAAATGCTTGCATTCAAATGCACAAACTGCTCACACATACAATCCTGCAAGATTGGGCAAATGGTAGATTTTGAGCTGCTCAACAATCTTGCACCAGTTGCCTCTATGTATTAGTTCAGACATTGATGCTGATGATTTTCTTGTTGTGAGTTCAAGTGAGAGGGTTTGGTGGAACAAGAACCATAGTCAATGACACAGATACCACTATATAGATGGAAAAAAATAGGCAATTTTGAGAGAAATTGGCATAAATGTTGGCATATTATATGCATTTGTGGAATAATTTGAAATTGCTTTAAACCCCCAAAAGGAAACAAAGGCTTAATAAATTGATATGTCATGAAATATGGTTGAACAAAAGCACAAGCAACAGTGGGATACAATAACAAATTTTATATATATATATATATTTTTTTATGTAGCATAAAGTGATCAAATGCTGTATTATTTCTTCACAAGCCATAAGAGAAGGGTATGAAGTGTATTGAAATTATTTCAAGTGTTCGTAATAATAAAATAATTCAATAATTTATTTTGAACAAAAATGTCATTAGTAATAACTAGTGGGGTTTTATAAAATAGATATCATGCTATGTATCATAACGTAGTAACATTCTGTGAAGAAGTGAGCAGACGTATAAAGCAGTGTTGCAGTGAATGTGATCTACTTGGCTTTCTCTAAGACATTTGATATGGATCCACACACAAGATAACCACATATATACTTCTGTGTCATGAGTCTTGACAGCTAATGCGGAGCATGACATGTATGATAAGTTTGAAAAAAAATTGTGATTTAAAGATAACTACGGGAGGGTGGGTGAAGGACAGAACAGCTTCCTGATAACACTTCCAGTTCATACATACAAGGGAAATATTGCATGTCCATTGCCTTATTATATGTTATCACTTGATAATCTGAACAAATTGATGTTTCTTGTGATTACACAATATAATCTAATTGAGTTTCTCTCTAAAAAAAAAAAAATAGAAAAAGTGCTAATATAGAACTGCCAACATAGAAACATAGAAACATAGAATGTGACGGCAGATAAGAACCATTCGGCCCATCTAGTCTGCCCAATTTTCTAAATACTTTCATTACTCCCTAGTCTTATCTTATAGTTAGGATAGCCTTATGCCTATCCCACGCATGCTTAAACTCCTTTACTGTGTTAACCTCTACCACTTCAGCTGGAAGGCTATTCCATGCATCCACTACCCTCTCAGTAAAGTAATACTTCCTGATATTATTTTAAACCTTTGTCCCTCTAATTTAAGACTATGTCCTCTTGTTGTGGTAGTTTTTCTTCTTTTAAATATAGTCTCCTCCTTTACTGTGTTGATTCCCTTTATATATTGAAATGTTTCTATCATATCCCCCCGTCTCGTCTTTCCTCCAAGCATTACATGTTAAGATCCTTTAACCTTTCCTGGTAAGTTTTATCCCGCAATCCATGAACCAGTTTAGTAGCCCTTCTCTGAACCCTCTCTAAGGTATCAATATCCTTCTGAAGATACGGTCTCCAGTACTGTGTACAATACTCCAAGTGAGGTCTCACCAGTGTTCTGTACAATGGCATGAGCACTTCCCTCTTTCTACTGCTAATACCTCTCCCTATACAACCAAGCATTCTGCTAGCATTTCCTGCTGCTCTATTACATTGTCTGCCTACCTTTAAGTCATCAGAAATAATCACCCCTAAATCCCTTTCCTCATATGTTGAGGTTAGGACTCTATCAAATATTCTGTACTCTGCCCTTGGGTTTTTACGTCCAAGATGCATTATCTTGCTCTTATCCACATTAAATGTCAGTTGCCACAATTCTGACCATTTTTCTAGTTTACCTAAATCATTTGTCATTTGGCTTATCCCTCCTGGAACATCAACCCTGTTACATATCTTAGTATCATCAGCAAAAGACATACCATATCACTAAGAAAAATATTAAAGAGAATGGGTCCAAGTACAGATCCCTGAGATACCCCACTGGTGACAAGTCCAAGCTTCAAATATATTCCATTAACTACAACCCTCTGTTGCCTGTCACTTAGCCACTGCCTTACCCATTCAACAATATTTGAATCCAAACTTAAAGATTGCAGTTTATTGATAAGCCTTCTATGAGCAACAGTGTCAAAAGCCTTACTGAAATCTAGGTAAGCAATGTCTACTGCACCACCCTGATCTATAATTTTAGCTACCCAATCAAAAAAATCAATAAGATT